TTCTCAAAAGCTCTTTTATCTTATTTGCTGTAACATTGTTCTTAAACTTAAGAGAAATATCACAGTTGTGATAATAGCTTTTTAGAAGCATTTTTACTCTTGTATTAGTTTTACATTGATTGTAAAAGGTTTCCTTAAGAGGATCCAGTTGGGATCAGTAGCTCTTGAGAAGACTAAGAATAGTTGTTCTTAGGTGTTACTATTGTAATCTGTTTGATTAAATAGTGGATTAAGTCCTTGACTGAGAAAGGCAAATCACTCTTGAGAGGGTGGACTGGAGTAGTTGAGTTCAACGAACCAGGATAAAAATAACTGTGTTTGAATCTTTGATTATTTGTCATACTTATTCAACCCCCCCCCCCCCTTCTAAGTAATTTTCTCACCTTCAATGTGCTTGTTCCCAAACATTCAAATCATTCACACGTTGGAGAAATGGAGGTCCAACTTATTTATGCAATCAAGAATAAGCTGCAAGTTAATTGGACATATGTGTTTATGCATCATATGCGACATGTTCGATCTCTTTCTGGTGGTCTTCCATATGGTCGGTTTGTATCGAAAATTTTGGAATCAAGTGGCATTCTTCTTCAAAGAGAACCAAAGACCTTGATATCGGCTAAGGTGAATGAAATCAATGTTTCTACTACACTAAAGAATACAGGAATCATTCAAGGTTCAGACGAAAAATTTGTGTACAAAGATTCATCTTCATCCTCTTGTACTCCATCCATTCCTGAAGGAGGCTTCACCAACGAAATGTTGTACAAGAAAATGTGTTCCATTGAAGCCAAAGTGGATTTCAATCAGAGGGAACATCGACGTGATATGGCGGCTATGAGGAAAATGTTCAAAGATTTTGCTAAAGCCCAGCTTCTTGCACAACCCACTGAGGAAGAGAGTGAAGAAGATAATGATGATAATGAAGAAGGAGAAGATGAAGACACCAATGACATGTCCGAATGATTAAATTGTTTTTGCTTATGTTCTTGTTCTCTTTACGTACTATTGTTTAAGTTTGGTTCTGTTTTTTATTGTTACTATGTTTTATGTACTTCAAACTTTGCTCGTCTTAGTTATGTACTATGTTTGTGTTGCTTGTTTTATGTCTTGTTGTGATCTCGTGTGATATTGTTGTTTCAATATTTATTTCAATTACTTTTTCCATCCTTTTTGTTAATGACAAAGGGGGAGAAGTGATTGTGCTGTATAGTATTGTTGCTTTTCTAACAAAAGTTGCAGATTTTCAAAGACTTCTCTAAAATCATGGATTAAGGGGGACCATCATCCAATGGGGAGCTTTTGTTTGAATAGCACAAGGAACTTCAACTTTCAAAGTAGTTGTCATCATCAAAAATGGGGAGATTGTGAAGGCATGACTTCTCGAAGATTTTGATGATGGCAAACATTCATTAGCTCAAGGATGGTTAAAAGTATTTCAAGAGTTCAAGATCAAGATCAAAGACCTTCATTGTCAAAGAATCATATCAAGACTTGATGAAAATTTGAAGATGGTTTTAACACAAAGGAAAGGTATAACATTTAACCTTTATATAGCTTATACAAGTGTTCAAAACCCTCTTCATTTCTTTGCATGTTCGTTGGAAAAAATATTTTGCATTTTCAAAGCCTTTCTGCTACTATTTTTGAGTTTTTTTTTTGGAAAAACTGGGTCAGAGTAATCGGTTACCCTATCCTGGTAATCGATTACCCTGAAGGAATTTTCAAAAAAATTTAAGACGTTAAAGCATGTAATCGATTACCCATTTGGGGTAACTGATTACCACTGGCGTTGCAGGACAGAATGATGCATCTCTTGGCAGAAACTCTCATTTTCTTTTTCACTTGAACCATGACAACCCTTGATCATTTGCACTCCTTTGTAGAGGTGTTTATAGGCTATAAAAACCTCATAATCTCATATTTTGAGATTCACCTTCTTGCAAACAAATTTTTCAAACTTTTATTATCATTCAAACTCTCAAAACTTTCAAGTGTGAAAATCTGAAAATTTCAAAAGAGTGAAACCTTGCATTTGAACTTTCATACAAATAATTTTTAAGTTCCATTCTACCATTCAAGGAAACTTGAATATCCTATATAGAGTTTGTATGTTCAACAAGAAGATCAATCACTTGATTGATATTTGAAGATCAACTTCAAACACTCCAACAAAATCAGAATTAAGTATTTTGCTCATTACATCTTATTTTCAGGATTGTTGAACTTAAGATTGTAAGGTTGTATGCCTTGTTGTCCAGGATTGTTGGAAGCAAGAGAGTTGAGTTTGAGAGGATTGTTCTCATTCCAACTTTGTTGTAAAATCGAAGAGGATTGTTCTCATTCCAACTTTGTTGTAAAATCCAAGAGGATTGTTCTTGGTGTAATTGTTAGTCTTGTATAGAAAGACTAGGATAGTCTTGTCTTAGTATCTAACATTATTGAAAAATCTCTTTTATGTTGAAAGGAGACTGGAGTACTCTCGGACTGTTGGGGGAATCAGGATATATCGCTGTGTCATTTACTTTCCGCATTTATCGCTTTCTCACTTAGTAATCTCTAAAGAAAGTAAATCTTAAAACTTTCGAAAAATCCAAAAAAAATTTATAATCACAAGCATGCTCTACAAAATAACTTTAGAATGGATGCCTTTATATTTTATTTAAAATGCATAGTAATCAATTGCCAATATTTCTAATCTGCATTCTCTAAAATAGTATAAATCTTATTTAAGAGTATCTTTCAAATAAGAATTAAGAGAGAAGATTGCCTTTATAACCTCCTTATAGTTTGTTTGGACGAAATAATTAATTTTTTTTTAAATATAAAATTTTAAACTATTTAAATAATCTAATTGAAATTTATTTAAATTTAAATTATTTAGATAAGAACCTATATGACATTATGAAAATTTCGGAGTCATTTTGATTTATTTTTTAAATAGGAAGACCAACTTATAAAATATAAATTAAAAATTAATAATAAATAATTTATCATTTCTTAAATTTTACTTCAAGAAAATTTATAAATTTTTTTATGAGAAAAAATAATATGTATTGATAGTGTAGAATATTTTTATTCTGTTAACCAATCACCATAATGTATTTTGCCAAATCATCTTAATATTTTTAAATTAATTACATAACATGATTAATTATAAATTTTTATTAGATAACAATATAATTTTTTTTATTTATCCCAAAATTTTAATCATATCATTTTAAATTTTAATCACCTATAAAAGATTTTAAAACGTGAGTCTTAATAACAATTTTTTTCATTTTTTCAAACAAAAATACCATAAAATGGTCGGGAAACATTTTTCCCAAATCATCCAACCACTTTGATTCGGTTAGCACTGACATCATACGGCAATATCAATAATAATTTGAAAAATAAATAAATTAAAAATATACTAGTTAGCCTTATACGAAGAAAGAAGATATAATAGTTAGCCTTATACGAAGAAAGACATTCATTTTAAATATGACACTGACACCAACACGACAACACTGATAATAATTTAAAATGTAAATAAATTAAAAGTAGTTACAATTGTCTAAATACAGTAGAAACTCTTTAAATTAATAATGTCAGGACCAGAAAAATTTATTAATTTAGAGAGTTATTAATTTATCGATAAATTAGTAATTATTAATTTAAAGAGTTTTTAAGTAATTATACTGTACATACCAAACAAAAAAACAAATTAGTTTATGTCTCTCAGAATTTAGAAGATATTGTGGCTACTATCATTGAAAACAATACAGAGGATGACGACGAAGATGATACGGTGTCTTTGGAGCCTGTTACGCGAAAGAAAACACTTATGGCGTCGAACACTCTTCACAACTTTATAATACAATACAAAAATACAACACCTGAGCTATTGGATACAATAAGAAAAGTTAGAGATGAACTCCAAATAGACTTGAACTTTAAAGAAAAACAGACAACTATTGAATTATATTTCAATAGAGTGTAATATATTTTTTTTCAGTTTTTATAAATTATTAATTTATGATTTTCTTGGGACCGAAAATTATAAAGGAATCTTCCAAAAAATTATTATCTTATTATTTTATGAGTTTTTCAATTTTTTACATTGGCCCAAATCAGAACCGGACAAATTTATTATTTTAGAGAATTTATTAATTTATCGAGTATTAATTAAAGAGTTTCTATAGTAAAATTATTATCTTATTATTTTATCGAGTTTTTCAATTTTTTACATTGGCCCAAATCGGAACCGGACAAATTTATTATTTTAGATAATTTATTAATTTATCGAGTATTAATTTAAAGAGTTTCTATGGTAGGTGTCATCACCACAATGTATTTTGTTAAATCACCTTGACATTTTTAAATCAATTGTGACATAATTAATTAATTGATGAATTTTTATTAGATAACAAGAAAAAAAACTATTTTTATTATTAATATTTTTTTCATTTATCTCAAAATTTTAATCACGTCATTTTAAATATTAATCACCATTCAAAGATACTAAATATAAAAGATTTACTAGTCAGTCTTAATAATTTTTTCAAAGATATGTATCAAGGAAGATATACATTTCAAATACAACACCGACACCGACACCAACATGACAATACCGATAATAATTTAAAAATAAATACATTAAAGATAATTACAAATGTCTGAATATGTGTGTCTGACACAGACACACAACGGATTTTTTCAGAGCATGATCTTAACATTATTTATCCAGAAAGTTCAAGACTAAACATAATTTGACCGAAAGCAAACATAATTTGCCAATAAGGTTTTTAATCAATTTTATACGTGCTACGAGAAAATTAGGACAATGTCGAGTACAAAGTTTCAAAAGAGAAGAAAAAGCAGAATTAACTCGAAATACTATATGATATGGTTATAATATCTTTATATTCAATGAACCTTTTTTTTTGTCTATGTGCTTCCAACATCTTACATTGGACATTTCATATAAGATTCGCAATGATCATGACCCTTTAGTCAATCTACAACAGCCTTTCAAGTGCCAAGTTTTCATCACCACCAACGGCTTCCAAAATACTCCTTACTTGAGCTTCAGGAAATCCCATCTCAACGAGTTTCTGAACCTGAAACAAAGTTGAATAGAAATTGCATTATGAAACTTCATCAAACAAATATCATCATAATTAATACAGTAGCAATGGAAATAATATCATTACTATAGAGTATCTTAAATTTCATATTTTCATGCTTACCAAATAAAAAGCACAACATCAATGTTCTTAAACTTGTTGTGCATATCAATAACAATTATGATAGTATTATGGTATAAAAGTAGCACAGTGTAATACAATAACATTAACTAGAGCATTATCAAATTTTCTTCACTGTGTTTTAACAACAAAAGACATAAATTAAAATATACAATTTGGTCACTAATATGCCAAATTCCACAAATATATTCTTTCATTTTTTCAAAATCACCTTTTTCATCAACTACATTTAAGTAGTAGTTCATATGGCACACTACCTACACAAGGGCTACATGCTACATACATGACAAAAGAATAGATTTTTAAAGAAGTTGGCATATTCAAAGACTAATTCACATAAATAGAGTTTCAATGACCAAAGCAATATACAATATACTACTTTAAGGGATTAAAACATAAAATATGTCCACTTTTAAAAAGGTCACGGCAGGTAAGATCAATTAAAATATACTTAATGATGTGCTTCTAAATTCCAAAATATAAATGCACCAAATTTGTTACCTTATCTTCGACTCCACGAGATGATGTCTTAGCGAAACTTTCTGTCCAGTAGCGAGCAGTATTGACAAATGTCTGATAGTCTTTGAGGTACTGAATTATCCATAGATAAACAATGGTTTATATAGAATGACATAATGACTCAAGAAAAATATGCAATACCAATGGAAGTTGATCTAGTAGAAACTTAAACAAGCATAAAAGTATTCAATGTATTTTTTTGCTTTGTTAGTTCCACACCCAAAACATATGAGAAGAAGCATTTCACAAGAATGAATCAGACCTGCTTTGCCACAACAGCATCTTGAGGATCATCAGGCTGAGGAGCAGAAAGAAGTGCTTGCACAGAAAGTAGTGCAGTCTTCAGAGTCAGTGCTGGGCTCCACTGATCTTTCAAGATGTCCAGGCAAATAGCCCCACTTTGGCTGCTGATGTTTGGGTGCCTTCAATGGTTATATGCAACGCAAAATTAACAAAAAGAACATGTATTTATTCAACACTAATGCACCAAGTGTCATATTTTCAGTACATAAGTAATTAAATTGCTAATATTATAAATCCCAAGATAGAAAATAGATTCGACAATCGTATGCTTCTTTAGAGACCTGAACACCTAAAGGCGAGGCAATTTAAACAAGCACGAGAAGCATTACTTCCAGATTGGTAATCAGGGAGAGATGGTGAAAGGAAAAGATTAACAAAAGATGACATACAAAACTCATCATATCAATATTTTGAGGCCAAATACCACATTAGTAGTGTCACACTACACAACAACACTATATGAAAAGGACCAGCATATAAAGCTTCTCCAATAGGTTTAGAGCTTACATTGGCATCAATATTCATTATTCAATAATTAATTCAAGACAGATTGAAACCCGTGCATAAAATGTCAAAACAATTTATATATCACACACAAATAAAGGATAGTCTTAGTGCAAATTGGGAAGCTAGGAATGGTGTAATCTTTAAAAATCATCTTATTCCTTTCAACTCAATTTGCTCCAAATTTTTGGCACAGGTTAAGCTTACTAGCGGTAAATCTACTCTAACTTCTAGAGCCTCTATTGAGGACTTTGTTCTTCTTAAAGCTTTCAACACATCAATACATCCTCCCAAGGCCCCTACAATCAAAGAAGTGATTTGGAGTCCTCCTTTGCTTGGGTTGGATCAAGTGCAATGTTGATGGTGCCTACACTTCTAATCCTTCTTCTGCAGGGTGTGGAGGTATTTTTAGGGATCATAGTGGTTCTTTCATTTCTGCTTTTGCTGAACATTTATTGTGGGATAACTCCCTTTTAACTGAATTATGTGGTGTCATGAGATTTATTGAGATAGCTAGAGATAAAGGTTGGTCTAGGCTTTGGGTGGAAATAGACTTTTCTTTAGTTGTCAAGGCTTTTGCTAATACCAACTCTATTTTGGTGCCTTGGCAATTAAGGAACAGATAGAATTCTAGCATTAGAACAATTGCTAACATGTCTTTTATCATTTCACACATCTTTAGAGAAAGAAATAGTTGTGCGGATTTTTTTTCCAACATAGGCCGCACATCCAATTCTTTGGTTTATTTTGATTCCATTCCTTTGAATGTAAGGCAAGACTATGTAAAGAATAGGCTAGGTTTTCCTTTTTTTAGATTCAAGTCTTATTGTGTGGGTTTTGGCCTAGTCCCCCACTCCTTTTTGTGTATCAATCTTTTTTATTGTAATATACAAGTCTTTATCACAAAAAAAAAATGGTCATTAAACTTAACCACTATGTTCAGTAATCCAACAAGGTTCATTAATCACAAAAGAGAGAGAACAGAAACAACATATCCCATACCAGACTTTGGTGGTAAACTTCATCTTTGGGGGTTCAAACGGGTATCCATCTGCAACAAAATTAACAAAAACAAATCATCATTGATGATAATTTTTCTCAAAAAGCAATATACTAAACAACAGCCAAAATCAATCTTCTATAAGCAACAATCTTCTACCCAGACCAAGAATTGAAAACCCTAGCTAACTCTAATTTGAAAAACAATAATTAGGGATGAATAACAAGAAACCGAATACGAGTAGTTTAGTACCGGGTATTTTGATTTCAATCTGAAATACACCGCCTTCGTAAGGAGTTCCGGTAGGGCCGGGAATGGTTCCGATCAAGTTAACGAGATTATCACTTTTCGGACTGACCTGAATTCCCGATCCCGCAGCGTCTTTACGGCATTCGACAAGCTCCTTCTGAACGCGAGAAAAGTCTATCATCTTGAATCTGAAAAGGAAAAAACCCTAAAACTCAGAAAAGAAGGTATCGAGTGAGTTGAGAAATGGGAAGGAAGGATTATAAAGAAATGAGGAGGAGAAGGAGAAACGGTTTGTAACCTTGGTCTGGTGCGGCACAGAAGAAGCTAAGAATAAAGCCCGTCTGTTGCTTTTCACTTTTTACTTATTCATGATAATAGTATACTAGTAGTAGTAGTTAGTGAGTTGCCGGTGCTTTTTTTTTTAATTATTTATTTATAGAAAACTACACTTCGTTAGTTACTTTTTATTGCAAATTTATATTATATTAATTTTTGAAATAACGTTGAAATTTAACTGTCTCTAAAAAAAATAAAAATAAAATTATTCTTAAAAAAATTAAATCAGGACAATTTAATCCACATTTTATTTACACTTCGTTTGACTGATAAAACTAATTAAAAAATTAAAAAATAATTAAAAAAATATTATAATTTAGTATGTGTTGAGAAATAGGTGAGTATTTTATATATGAAAATTATATTTATAATACTGAATTAATCTTTAAACAAAATATTTAATATCTTTTTTTTAATGTTCTCAAACTAATATTACAATTTATTATTTACAATTTGATATTTATAACAATTCTCCTAAAACTAATGAATGAATATTAATCATTTCAAACTTACACGGAAGTTGGTTGAAACCTTTGTTGGTAAAAAATTTGTTAACACATACTCTAATTGATTCGTAGAAGGAATGTATGTTGTAGTTATTAATATGTTATTCTCTCTGTTTTATAATAAGTGTCTTATTTAAATTGTGTGCGGTTTTTAAAAAAAATGATTAGATGTGTTGATTTTGATGATAAAATTGATATCTTTTACTAAAATATCCTTAGTTATTATAGTTAATGAAATAGTTGAAAAGCTTGAAAGTTAATGAATATGACTATAATAGTGAAAAAAAATAATAAATATTGTATTTGTATTCTAAAGAGACAATGTGTTTTGTCCTATCATGTTAAATTGGATTATGTGCAGTACTAATGGTCGATTTATTATTACAAAGCAATTTCACACACTCTTTACACTAATCTTCAAGTCTTTTAACTCTTGTTTTATCCACAATAGTTCATAAATTCTTTGTGCCATAACTTTAAATTCTAATTCAGCGTTTGATCGAACAACTACAGATCATTTCTTACTTTTTCACGCAACTAGGTTTCCATACAATAAGGTACAATAGCTTAAAGTAGATCTTTTATCACTCACTGAACCTGCATAATCAACATTAGTGTAAGCTTCCATAATTAAACTTCCACTTTTTTTTAACAAGAGTCTTTTTCTTGGAGTAACTTTGAGATAATGTAGAACATGTTCTACAACTTGCAAGTGTCTCTCCTTTGGATCATGCATAAATTGACTGACCACACTAACTACATATGCAAAATATATCTTAGTATGCGCCAAGTAAATCAACTTTTTCAATAATCTCTAATATTGACCCTTGTCAACTTTGGCATTTTCCTCATCAAGACTTATCTTATGCTTTTGCTTAATGTGTGTAGCTTGCATCCAAGTTTCTCTATTTCTTGCAAAAGACTAAACACATATTTCTTCTAAGAGATAAAGATGCCTTGTTTTGAGTTTGCTACTTCAATTTCCAGTAAATACTTGAGTTGTCCACGTTCTTTCATCTCAAATTCTGATGATAACTTTTCTTTGACTAATTATCTCTCAATCAAATCCATCACTTATGATAATAATATCATTAATATAAACAATAAGTATAGTTAGTTTTCCTCCTTATGAATGTTTAAAGTGACTTTGCTTATAAGCACAGCACACCATGACCTTTGAATCATTCAAACTAGGCATGAGGTGATTGCTTTAATACATATAAGGTTTTCTTTAATCGACACATGTTGTTGGTTCCACCTGTAAGACCAAATTCAAGTAGAGTCTCCATATACACCTCTTCATCTAAGTCTCTATGTAAAACACATTTTTTACATCAAATGGACATAGTTTCCAACCAGAGTGAGCGAAAAGAGATAATAATATTTGAATAGTATTTATCTTTGAAATTGGAGCAATAGTTTCCTCATAATCAATGACATAAGTCTGAGTATATCTTGTTGTCAATAGTTAGACCTTTTAACGATCAAGGGAGTCATCTGCCTTGTATTTCACATATTGGATCCAACTAAAACCAACAGGCTTCTTACCATTTTGTCTTTCAATAATTTTTTATGTTCCATTTTTTTAAATGCTTTCATTTCCTCATCCATAGCGTTTTTATTTTTTAATGCCTCTTAAACAAATTATGAAATTTTCAAAGTCAACAACTGCAATAAAACTCTGATATTATGGAGAAAGTCGCTTCGAAGAGACAAATATAAAAATAATGTAGTTCATATTGGATTTGCTACATTTAGCAAAACAAAAACATGGAAAAGTGTCAGGTATTCAAGATTGGTCTAGCTTGCTTAAGCTGTAAAAAGGACACATGTTGGGCGCGATGCTCCATCATGTTGGTACGACATCTGGGCCTTACTCAACAGACGCCAAATTGTTGCGTTTTGGATTAATATTTTAAGAAGATTCAGTTCTATTTTATTGTTAATTGACTTAGCAATATAATTAGGTGATTTGTTTGACAATTGGGCGAAGATTGATTGAGATTTAAACGAAGGTTTAAATTTGAATTTAAATTAAAACAAAACAAACTTTGTTGGGGATATTCAAGGAATAAATCATATATCCAACAGATTATGCATTAATTATGAACGAAATCAATCGCAAATCCATTAAGAAAAGCCCAGAGTTATTATGCTATATAAGGAGATCAAAACCTACATTGGAAGCTAAACATTCACATTGAAGATTTTATAGTGTTAGATTTTGTGTCTTGTATTCCATGCTAATGCCCTAATAAAATTTGTATGGAATCTTTATGTATACCTATATGTTTCAGTAACTTGGTATAAGAGGTTTGTCTAGAGTTGAGTGGTAGTATTCAACATTTATTATTGAGTTGTAATCTCATATCATGGGTTATATGATAGAGAAGAAAGTGAGTAGGTTGTCATATTTAGAGGGAAACTCTAAATAGAATGTCATTGGGTAGTGCTAGGAAGAGGCATTGAACAACATAGTTGTTGCTTGTAAGTCTAATTCTACTAAGCAACTAATATTGAATTTCCTTCTTAAATTATGGACTCAATCCCTCCAATGTACGTGTGGTTTCACCAAACTAGGTAAACAAATATCGTGTTATTTAATGCTTTTCTACTCCATCATCTAGTTCTTATGTTGTGGTGTTTCTAGTTTATCTTATCGAACTAGTTGTTTAGGATATCGTGTTTGACATATGCCCCTTGAGGAACAGAAGTTTAATTGGTATCAGAGCAGACACCCTATTCTGTTTGGGTAAGCTCCAAGGAGGATAGTTTCTATTCAGATGGACAACACAAAGGATAGAAGATCATTCAATAAACCACCTATTTTAGATGGCACAAATTATGACTATTGGAAAGCCAAGATGGGTTCTTTTCTTAAACCCATCGACAATAAAACTTGGAAAGTTGTGGTTAAAGGTTGGAAACATCCTGTGATCACTTCTCAAGATGGTTCAACAAGCTTGAAGCTAGAAGCTGATTGGTCTAAAGCTGAAGATGATGAAGCTTTTAGCAATGATAAAGCCTTGAATGTTATATTTAATGGCATTGGTAAAAATATGTTCATACTAATTAACAATTGTACTGAAGAAAAAGAAGCTTGGAAGATTCCTAAGACTGCTCATGAAGGCACATTCAAGGTTAGGATGTCAAGGTTACAGCTCCTAACAACCAGGTTTGGAAATCTGATAATGATGGAAAATGAATCCATGTTTGATTTTAACATTCGTCTGCATGACATAACCAATAATTCTTTTGCTTTGGGAGAAAATATGTAAGAAGAAAAATGGTTAGAAATATTCTCAGATCATTATCTTAGAAGTTTGACATGAAGGTAACAACTATTGAGGAAGCCCAATACTTAAGTACCTTAAAGGTTAATGAACTCACTGGTTTTATTCAAACCTTTAAAGTTTCTATAAATGGAAGAACAGAAAAGGAAGATCAATGTGATAAGTGTAACACCCCAATTCTTGATTTATCGAATTATTTGAATTATTATTATTTAGTTTAATTATTATGTGTGATAATTGAACTAATATGAGTGTTAGAGGTGTGTGACCTTGCAGGTGGGAGTGCGGAGAGTGATTAGAGGTTGGTAGAGGTGGACTAGAATTATTATAGTCTATTTTGAATAATTAAATAATAATATTTTAATTATTTATTTAACTAAAATAAGAAAATAGAATAATAGAAAATAGGGAGTATTAGTAGTATTTTTATTAAAATAAAATTAAAGATGATAAGGGAATTTTGGTGAATAAGTGGATAAGTGAGGATAATGATGGAAGTCTCTAATTGAGGGATTAAGTTACTGATAAAAAAGTTAGTAAGGAGTTATGATAGTTTTTCCTATGTGAAAACAAAATTTTGTGCAAAGAGAAAGATGGAAGGGCAAGGGAATAGAGAGAACATCCATTAAAAGAGCTTTGAAGGTATATTTTCTAGTAGTACAAAGTACCTTCCTCAAAAGGAACTTGAATGTGAAAGTTTAAGACTTTCCGTTTGTCAACATGATGAAGGAGATCATGAAGAGTTTGAAAAAGTCTCGTGAAAAGGCTACTTATGAAAAGGATCATAAAGGGAATTACAACATTAATGATAATGATTATGTCAGTTCTATCCATGTACACAATGAAGTGCATGATGGGTCTGAACCAATCAATGAAGATGTTACTAAGGATGTTGATCCTCGTAACATTTCTCTCCTTTATGAAGATATTGTACTGAAGTTGAAGTATTTTTCCATTAAAAGAATGTTGTTAAAAGAAGCTTTGACATTTGAAGAGGATGTTCAGCTGCTGGAGGAAGTCATTGTGAAAGACAATGATAATCTTAA